ACATATTACATGTACTTACTATTATAATAACAATTAACCCTAATCCTACCCTAACCATATAGTAAGTAGTATAGTAGTTAATTAATATTACTCAGTACTTAAATGTGTAATTACACTGTAACAGTGACACCTTAAGATAAAGTCTAAACAAAAATATATATATATATATTTATATATATATTAACATTATTAACATTATTACATTATAATAACATTATTGTTATACACTATTGTTCAAAAGTTTGGGTCTGTTTTAAAATAATATATATATATATATTTATATATATATGTATGTATATAACATTATTACATTATAATAACATTATTGTTATACACTATTGTTCAAAAGTTTGGGTCTGTAACATTGTTTTTAAAATAAGTCTTTTTTGCTCATCAAAATCAAGTAGATTTTACAATACAGTAAATGTTATTGTGAATATTGTGAAATATTATTACAATTTAAAATAACTGTTCTTTTGTGATTTATGACTGTTCAAATGTGATTTATTCCTTTGATGGCAAAGCTGAATTTTTAGTAGCAATTTCTGCAGTCTTCAGTCACATGATCCTTCAAAAATCATTCTTATATGTTGATTTGGTGCTCAGGAAACATTTCTTATTATTATCAATGTTAAAATAGTTGTGCTGCTTAATATGTTCGAAGAAACCAGGATATCTTTTTTTCAGGATTTTTTGAAGTAGAAATTTTTATAGATGTCTTTATTGTAATTTTTAATTAATCTGTGCTGAAGAAAAATATGAATAAAAAAAAAACTGACCCCAAAATTTTGAAAGTAGTGTAATTCTAATTGTATGACTTTTTCTCTAATTTTTTTTTGTCAATGAGAGGCAATGTCATTTGGACACCAACACTTTTTAACCTTCTTTTGTGTTTCACAGAGGAAGGAAATTCATACAGGTTTGGAAAAACACATGGTGGGTAAATAATATATATTTTTTTTTTGGTGAAATGTTCCTTTTAAGTGAGAAAATCTTCCACGTTTGTGTAAGATTTGTAACTATATAAAGATGCACTGAAAGCAAATCCATCAGTGTTGTATACTGTGGCGATGGTGTCAGCTTACACAAGACCACCACTGTGCAGTGTAACCGCAGACACTCAGGTTGTAAAAGTTTTTTAAAAAGTCACGTCAGTTTTTGCCACATACCTGTTCTTGATAAGAATCCAGCAGTTGGGCCACATCACTGTTAGATGGAGACTTCAGATCAACAAGATCCTTCTCAAGAGATGCAATCTGACAGGAGAGACAAATGGTAAAATTCTCAACATCACAGGTAGAAACAATCTAGTGGGTCTAAATCAGAAACTAAGAGCAGAGAAGGGAACGTGTTGTTTACAACAGGAATTTTTACAAGGTGTTTCCTGATGGTAACTGCTGAGACACGGTGAAACACAACATAAAACAGCTCTGATCCAAAACATAGTGTGCTGCTTACCAGGACAGCCTTTTAGGGACCACAAGTGTGCTCCCAACATTGCGTATAAAGGTCACATCAGCTAAAGTTTGCATACAAAAACAGGTCCACTATCCACAGATACATCCACTGCTCACATGGAAGTTATTTTTAAAAACTTTTAGTGTCATCAGCACAGAAAATTTGCAGAAATCTGCATGAGGAACTTTTTCACCCTCACATGAAACTCCTAATTGCATGGATATTTTCAAATTTTCACTGCATTTTCTCACAGGGATTTGCAAGCCACTATTCTTTCTAACGCTGGTTTGGAATAATATGCATTGTGAGACGCACTATACTAACATACTGTATAAAATGCATTACACCAGGATATAAAAGGTAGAATGGTATTTAAAGGGGTCATATGATGCGATTTCAAGTTTTCCTTTCTCTTTGGAGTGTTACAAGCTGTTCGTTAATAGATAAGATCCCTAAAGTTGCAAAGACTAAAGTCTCAAACCCAAAGAGGTGTTCTTTATTTGTCGAGTAACAGGCTCTCGGAGGATAAAGCCGGTCTGTAAAGTTGCAAAGACTAAAGTAACCAACCCAAAGAGGTGTTCTTTATAAAAGTTAAGACTGGTCCACGCCCTCCTAAAACGCCTCGTTTAAACACGCCCCCACATGTCTACGTCACGATGTAGGAAGATTTGCATAACGCCGCCCAAATGTTCACGCAAAGAAAGAAGGCGTAACTTTATTGTTGCTTCCAACGCCGCCGCCATGTTGTGAAAACGCTGTGTGTTTCATTGCGAAAGCGAAACTACTTTGTTTGGCCTCCCAAAAGAGGACACGACTAGAAATCAGTGGTTAAGTTGTATTTACAACACTGTTCCAGAACACTTCAACCCAAATATTCAGATGTGTCCAGCGCATTTTACGGAG